CAATAGTCGAAATACTTGGCCAATATAATGATTTTCACGTGTCTTAGCGCTTTAAACACTCCTTTAGTCATCTTCTGCCATAAGGAAAAATTATGTATTTTTCGAAAACATTCCATTGGATAGCCCTTGAAATTCTCTACAAAGTCAACTGGTCAGAATATCCAGACAGGTGGGGCGATGTGAAAAGATATGAAAAAAAAGCGGTCAACCTCAAAAGCATTGGAGAAAAATACATAATTTTTCCTTATGGCAGAAGATGACTAAAGGAGTGTTTAAAGCGCTAAGACACGTGAAAATCATTATATTGGCCAAGTATTTCGACTATTGACCCATGTGGGGATATTTTTGAAAGGCTTGTTTATAACTTATTTTGAAGCCCGAGAAATTCTACGTCTTTCTATGTATAAATCATTCCGGGTCTGAGTGTGCTGACAAAAGTAGAATCAGTTTTTGTCGGCGACTACGGGTAAAATCGAGGTACCTGTCAAGTATATGTCCAATACATCTATGAAGATATTAGTTTGAAAAGGCGTGCTACATATCATTTTAAAGCCCGTTTAATTACGCATGTTTTCGTGTATAAGATTGTATTAAGAACGTCTGGCTTTCAGAGAAAAATGAATAAATACAGTCGAACAGACTTTCTGGACCGTTGCTCAAAAATGATTAAAAACTTCAGCATGTGGTAGTCTACAATGAACTTTTAAGGCGCAGAAAAATGACAAATTAAATAACGAACGGTTTCTGATCAATTTCAGCCGTTATCTTCTCAAAAATATATAGGGCGGTTTCTTACAGAAACCGTCCATTGCCCTTTCCATAATTAACTACACCAGTAAAAATGTTTAAATGACTTATAAACTTCAATGACACTATTATCACAGAATCAACAAAATTAAACATCATAAAAGTGATCGATTGGAAAACAGTCTTCAATCAAATAGAAGATTATGCAAACGCTACCGAATTATACTGTATATAGGGACTATAACTAATCGGCAATACTGTTTTAGTTATTGAAAAACATTAGTTCTTCAGTTTTATTATGAAGCAATAATTAAACAAAATGTTGACTTTAGATCGGCATTTATTTATATTATACTTTCGCACTTTTCACATTTAGGAGACAAGTAATTTAAATACATTGTGGCCTGATAAGGGCAGAAAGACCATGGGTGTAGTTGAGACTGCTGAAAAATATCATATTACGTGTTTTTTTATGTAACTATTCGTATCGAAAAAAACTGTTTTAATAATAAAACAGTCGTGCGCAGCTGCTGATCTCTTTTTTCTTTTAACTTTAATTGAGGTTTAACTTTGTAAATTGGTTAGTATTGAGACAACAGAAAATAGATAATTTCTTACAACAACCTAGTCTTTTTCATGAAAAGAGGTTAACTAAAAAAATCAAAACGAATGTTCCTTGTCTCATGTAATTTTTGTTTTCACGTTGTAATTATTTCTGTGATTTAATTCCGTCATTATCAATGACAAACTGCCAGTTTTTTTGTGGACTTGTTACTCCCTCGAATGGTGCTTCCAATACTTTTGTTGTACCATCTTGTTTTTTAACTGTAACCTTTTTCACATATTTTCGTTGTTGATGTGTACCAGTTGATACTTCTTTTTCGTCCACTGCATGCTCAGCACCACTTGCTATTTTAGCTTCAACCGTTTCGCCATGACTATCCTCTGAACCGGCATATTGAATCTCTACCGAAACATCTTCATCACTGGAATTGCGCAGTGTTGCTGAATAAACATGACCAGGAGCTTTCAGACCAATAACAGGCTTGTGTTCGGCCATTAGTAGAATCTAACTAAAATAATAATTTTAATTCATAGTAAAAGCTAATTTACCAATCAGTTTCATCGTCAAGTGACACTTGATCGGCCACATTCTTCTCTAATACATAACATAAATTCTACAGTAATATTAACTAACTAACCTGTTATGTTGGTATAATTTAACTCCTATATTCTTCGGTGCTCAAATAGCTTTAAAGTGACTGTGTTGTATTTTCTCTTTGTGAGAAAGGAATATAATACATGGAAGATAACAATTTATTTGGTGAAAGAGTAGATGAGAGATAAAAATAATGTGTTATGTAAAGGTAAATGTTTACATAGAAGATAAAAGTTACATCTTTTGAGCACAATTTGCACATTATTCTGTGAGATGTGAAACGAGTTTGAAACTTCGCTTCAACGAATCATAGTCATGCCCACGTAAAAAATGTACGCTACGAATCCATTAAAACTAATCACATATCCAACTTTTTCGTACCGGATTCGGATGGCTCATAGCAAAATGGTACGTGCCTTTTACGTACCACAATGGTACTAAGCAAAAGTACGAAACCAAAAACTTTTTACCAAATCATAAAAATTTCGTAAAAGACAGGACTCTTTCATCCAACTCCTTAAATTAAGCAAAATCATCTTTTATCGATCACAAGGCACTCTAACTAATCAGAGATAATCCTCATTGTAGGAAACTTTGGGTGCTGGGAATCCACTAGCATGCTATATTCTCCACAACTGCGTCATTTTTCTTCTTGTTTTAGCAGTTGGCCTAAGATACAGCTAGTTTTAACAAATTGTCTAATATTCCATGTATCAAAAAATTCAACATTCTTTTCATCTAATAATATTTAAATTAGTTTTTTTACCTGTATTGCACAATTTTGACACGAGTCGGCACTCGACAAAATGAGTTACCTCTCTCGCAAAACCTATCTCCTCCCTGGTTTTGAAACTTTTTTCCGATCGTCATACACCATTCGAATCACCATT